TCCACGAATTGAAAAATTAAGGCATCGCATGTCTGGGGGCAGTCCTGCCCTGGTCGATTTTCATCTTAGGTGCGTCTACTGAAGGGCTGCAGGGGTACTTATCACAAGGGTGCTTCGTCTGCCCTCTAGTCAGGCACTGCCAAGGGGAGTCACCACTAGGGGGATCGCAGGAAACGGGTCCCCCGAGATCCCCAGGATCCTGAAAGCCGCCCCAACAGACTTCTTAAACCTCCTCGATGCTCGATCCTCCCTCTCCTCGATCTCGATCTCCAGGATGAGGTACCCCCTCCCCTGCGGTCAAGAACTTTGGCTTAGCGTGTCGCGCCGCCGGTTCTGGCCCACGACGATTCGGCGCGACTCGCTAACTACATTCCCATTCCCAAGCGTCACCGTCCCGAGCGAGCATTTCCAGCCTCCCGCCCCGCGGAGCGGAGCGACACGCTATCCGCTTGCTGAAGCGTGTCGTCGGTCTCGGAAGGCGGCAGGGCGTCTCAGAAGCCTTCTGCCTTCACCGAGGGGAGATGCTCTTGAACTCGGTGGTTGTGGTACTACTCACTACTCGGGCTTCTGAGGTAGCCAAGAGATTAACCACCAGCACCCCCAGTGGATGCACCCCCCTGTCTTGGTGTTGGTGCCAGTTTCCAGGACCCCAGTCTTGGAGGCGATGTGGCCGGCGTCTTGGGGGGAGGGCGGCGGTGTCGGCCAGATCCGGGTTGTCCAGAGCGGCCCCAAGTCTTGTAGCGCTGTCCGCCTTCGCCCCTACAAGCGCCGGCGAGGTCGACAACTTCTTGCCGCGCGCAGTGATAGCGTTGTCTTTCTGCCTGTGGAGCCTTCTCGTGGGTTCTCGTGGCCGCGACTGGCTTCAGGCCTGCCAGATGGGGTCCAGGCAGATGTGGTTGGACCTCATTTGGGAGCTGGGGGCCCGACTTGGTCAGGATTTGGGCCGGGAGAGCTCGGGGGCACACCGTGACTGAGAAAGTGGGCGTGCACATTCTTGGTTTCCCGCAGGCACGCGTGAGCAACGCAGAACTACAAGGGGTCGTTCGCGACGCCATTCCTGCGTAAGCTGCCCGCGTGAGGTCGCAGGTAGGCGCCCGTCGTTTCCTCGCGGTGTGTCTCGCAGGCGGCCTGCACAAGCCGCCGCGTGAGGTCACCACGCTGCCGTGCGTAAGACCACTCTTTCATTATCGCGCACGTGGGCGTGCGTTTGAAGTTGCTGCTCTTTCAAATGCATTCGCCGACGGTGAACGGCTTTGCAGGGCAACTGTAGACATCAATGATTTGTTTTCGCCATGGCGATCTCCAATTCGTATCATCGCGTGTCAATGCCGGTCCTTGGTCTTCCCGCGGCGCTGTGAATTGTGGCGCTGGCCCAGTGAGCGGCTCGTCGCTATGCTCATGTGCATATTCGATACGGCAAACTCGTCTGGCTCCACATGCCTCGAGGCGTCGCGAACGTAGCTCACGGCTCGAGGTGTCTCCATGAGAGATTCGAGCCTTCGGGAGGCCGTCTTCCAGGGGCCGCCACGAGGGCGCGGAGCTATGCGCGGTTCCCGGCTCGCGATTCCTCGTCTTCATCTTCCTCGTCCTTCTCTCCTCCCGCAGGGGGGCGGCGCGAGAGCGCGAAGTCACTCGCGCTTCGCGAAGCGCGAAGCGCGAACTTAGCTGCCCTTAGTTAGTCCTCGGGCCCTAGTCAACGGCAAGGGGACCCACGAGGAAAAGCCAGTCCCGTGGGAAGGGGGCGGTCCGGGAGCACCGAGAGCCCATGTCGTTCCCTCCCCTGGGGAGGAGCACTACAAGAGCATTACGGATGAGTGAAGCGGACGTCAGACATGGGTGAAACGAGACGGATTGCCATCACGGAGCCTGGCCTCGAGCTCAGGCTTGGAGGTGTCGGAGAGACTCTGCGTCTCGGATGTGACGAGGCGTCCCTACTTGCCTCTCCTTCTATAACCAGGAAGGAAAAAAGCACACAGACACAATTAATCGTCGATCCCCCAGAAAATATGGGAAAATATGGGAATTGGGCGGGAAGACAGAAACCCAGAAAATATAAGAAAATATGGGGCATTATTTTATTTGTGTGTATTTATTTGTGTGTCGTGGGGCCCCTTCATACTTGCCTCTCCTTCTATAGGCTAGGTTATGGAACCCCTTCGGGGTAACCGGGCACGCGCCCGAGAGGTGCCCGGGACCCGTCGTCGCGGGTTTCCCGCACCGAGAGCAGGCGACCAAGTTCAACGAGTGGGACACGCGGAGCTCTCGACCCACCAACACCTGGGGTCTTCGCAAGCCTAGAGATTGACACCAACACCAATATCGGCGGTGTGCCTCCACCGACGGAAGAGGATCCCGATCTCGGTGATGGTGGTAATATTCTGGCTTCCAAGGTGACCGAACTATTACCACCAACACCGAAAATCTAGGATCATCTTCCCCCTGTGGAGGCAGCCCCTTGTCTTGGTGTTGGTGCCCATTTCCACGCCTCCAAGAGTCTGGGGAGGGCCGAACCTCCCTGGCCAACAGCATGGGGCTCGCGCCTGGTTTCGCAAGCCTGGGGCATGGAATCCGTATCCGCAGACAGGTGAGCGACGCAAGACACAACGGAGTCGTTTGCGCCGACATTGGCGCGTAAGCTGACCGCGTAAGGTCGCGCGTGAGAGCTCTCGTCTCCAATGCAGCGTACCGCGCTGGCAGCCCGCGTAAGCCGCCGCGTAAGGTCGCTACGTCACCTGGCGTGAGACCCGTTTTTGATTGTCGCTCAAGCTGAAACGCGCACGGAAATATTTCGCCCCCGCTCTCCTCCAAGTGTGCGGGGAATCACGCAAGGCCCTGCCAGCTTGTGAAGCGGGGGAGGCAGGACGGGAGTGGGTCTCTCGGCGGTCCGGAAATCTGCTTTTTGATGCACTCCACTGGAGCTCTCCGAACCCTTATTGCGGATCAACACCGCCGCCTCCGCGTTCCGCTTGTCAGTGTCGAGGGGATCACGGATCATGGATTCCTGGAAAGTTCGCGCCGCGGCTAGCGACGCAACGACGTCGGCGCATGCGGTACCTGTGGCAGTGATCCTTTGACGAGGCGCAGTGATCTCCGAAGCCCCGTGACGGGACGGGACCCGCTCCAGAGAAGCGTGGAACCGCCCTGTAGCCACGAGCGCCTGGCGGATCCTGGCCCAGAGGTCGGTGTTCGTCCCGGGGCGCAACGAGTCGAGGTGCCGACCTCTCAGCCAGTCGTCGTACAGCGGCTTGTTGATAAGCTTGTTCTCCGCCGCCACCACCGTAAGCTGGTGGGGGGAAGGAGGAGGGCGAGGAGGAGGAGGGCGACGAGGAGGAGGAGGAGGGGGAGGAGGAGAAGGGGGAGGAGTGGGAGGAGGAGCCCCCCCCCCTCCAACTTATGGTGGTGGTGGTGGTGGAAAACACGCCCAGCACTTGTGGCCCGTTGCGGACTGGAGCGGTCCAGGGGTGGCCTCCGGGGCGGCCGCCCGGGCCGTGGCCCCTTCAGCAGGGGGGACCGCCTGGCGGCCACCGGGCACCGAGGAGCCCACGCCAGCCGCGGGGCCCCTCGAGGGGCCGTCCTGGGTGCGGAGGGGCTCGAGCACCACAGCGCCTCCTCCTGCCCCTCCTCCTCCTCCTCCTCCTCCTCCTCCTCCTCCTCCTCCTCCACCCGTCCCCAAGCGCGGCAGCGGAACCCTCAGCGTGTCGGGGAGGGGCTTCAGATTCGCCGGGCTCGAGTCGGGTCGGGGCTCTGTCTTCGTCGAGCTGCAGGAGGGTCTCACGGATCCTCGGGGCCCCTCGGAGTCCAGTTGGGGCAGCTCCCGTGGTAGATTCTGGCGGGCTCGCAGAGGAGCGCAGATTCGTCGACGTCGCCACGGCCTCGACGCTTACTCGGCTCCAGCCTCGATGATACACAGCGCTCCATTTTCATGTCCGCAACGAGCGCACGTGCAGGGCAGGCGTGTACCCCGCAGCACGCATCCGCTCGCGGGGCCACCCGTCCTCTCCTCGGAGGTTGATAGACCTCCTACCCCGACACGTCGATTAGGGAATTGGCCGTTTTTGGTTCGCGAGAGGGCGCCGCGGCCGTCGTTTCTGCGGGTCCGGGCTCGTCGGTCTCGGTCCCAGGCCGTTTTCACTAAGGGGAGGTTTGCTAAAGGGAGGTTTGTCCACCGCCGGTCCTCCCGTGGCGGCGACCACGCCCACGGCCCAGTCGTCGATGTCGCTCGACCGCCGACCTGGCTGGCTCGCACGCGGCGAGCTCCCGCGGGGGCCACGCGCAGGGGGCCGGCGTGCCGCAGGGTCAGGTTGGTCGGGCGACTCATGCTTCGGCTCCTCCTCCTCCTCCCTCCTCCCTCCTCCCTCCTCCTCCTCCTCCTCCTCCTCCTCCCTCCTCCTCCTCTTCCTCCTCCTCCTCCTCCTCCTCCTCCTCCTCCTCCTCCTCCCTCCTTCCTCCTCCTCCTCCTCCGCCTCCTCCGCCTCCTCCTCCTCCGCCTCCTCATCATCATCTTCCTCCTCCTCGCCTGCCTCCAGAGGGATCGCTGGGTGCTCGCATCGACGTCGTCCAGCGGCTCCGTGAAGTCCCCGTGGAAGCCGTCGAAGGGAGGATCTGTGCCGCATGGGATCTGCCAAGTCTGTTCGTGGTCCATGTCCCAATTCGTCGGCGACGTCGGTCCGTAGCCGTTCTGGCTCAAGTAAGTGCAAGCCGACCTGCGGACCTCCCAATCATATTCCAATTTTCCTTTGGGGACATACTCCGAACCCGAGGGTTACTCTGCCGCTTTAGTGTCGGCGGAGCCCCTTGCGTTTGGTTCCAGCCATGGCGGCGGACAGCCCGGGCGCGCGGCAAGAGTGGCCAGAAATGCAAGACTCCGAGACGAGTGCCGGCCAGGATCCGAACCTGACCAGCCTCATCGCCGCGCTCAAGACCGCATTGCCATTGTCTGGCAACCAGGTGGCCGAGGTCCTCGAGGTCGTCGTGCGGTCATTCGACAGCCAGTTGAAAGCTCAGCAGCAGATAATAAAGTCACAGGAGGAGGAGCTCGTCAGGGTTCGCAACCAGACCGTCGCCAACCGGGCGGACATCATGAGCATCGTCGAGCAGACCAACACCAAGCTGAAGGAGCACCTGACCAAGCTCAAGGACAAGGTCAAGAAGATCAAGCGTGACGGCACGTCGAGCAGCCTTGACAGGTCGCGGACGTCCGCGATGCATCGCTCCGGCAGGGGCTCGACCACGACGCTGGGGAGGAAAAACACCCTGGACAGCGCCCACGGCACAGCCATGCCTTTCAGCCTCAAGGACAGCACCGACTCCCAGAACACCACGTCGGCGTACGGCGATGCGACTCCCCTCGCCCGCGGCACATCCATGCGTTTCAGCGTCAGGGACAGCACCGAGTCCCAGGCCACGTCGGCGTACGGCGATGCGAAGACCAACCCATTCCGCATCCCGGGGACCGAGGAGACGGAGGAAGACGACGAGCCGAACAACCGACTGCAGAGCGACAGTGAAGGTGAGCACACCTTCGACATCGACGCGCCAGACGACCTGGCCGTCAGCCCCTCCGCGAGGAGCGGGTCGAAGGCGCCTGGGCCGAGCGTGATCGGCAGGAGCGCGGGCGAGAACGGCGCCAGCAGTGCCGCGTCGCCCAGCGGGACGCCGCGCGCGGCGCCGCACCTGGGCCCCATGGCGGGCGAAGCGCTGGGCATGGTCGCGGTGCCCACCTCCTCCTCCTCCTCCTCCTCCTCCTCCTCCTCCTCCGCCCTCCTCCTCCTCCTCCTCCTCGTCCTCCTTCTCCTCCTCCCCCTCCTCCTTCTCCTATTCTTCCTCCTCCTCCTCCTCCTCCTCCCTCCTCCCTCCTCCTCCTCCTCCTCCTCCTCCGGTGCCCACCATGATGTCGACCCTCAGCTCGGACAGCGACGAGGGCGAGAACACGATGCGCGAGGGCAAGCTTATCGCGGTCACCGCCAGCATGCTGGACAAGGGCGGCATGTACCGCTCGAACTCTTCCGTCTGGGACTCGATGTTTTTCGTCCTCATCCCCGCCGTCGGGCCCTCGTGCTCCGTTCTGGTGAGCGTCTGCTGGCTGATGAACATCTGCCTGCAGGTTGCGTTCGTCTACATCGTCGAGGTGATGCTGGAAGACGACCAGGCGATTTCCCCCGAGGTCCTCCAGGGCCTGCTGCAGTTCCGGCTCGGCGCCGCGCACCACGCGGACTACGCGGACAGGGTGTCTCAGCGGTCCATGGCGTCGCAGGTGTGCACGCAGGAGGCCAAGCTCCACTTGGCTGGCGGGCAGCAGGACAGGGCTCGTTTCGATCCCTCCGATTCGATTCGATTCGATTTCGATGGCTTCCGATTCCGATTCGATTCGACTTGAGATTCCGACTTGGGCTCTGATTTCTTATTGGAGGCCTTTTAGCCTGCCGATGTCTGCCGATTCGACTTTTCCCGACTCGGCTGCCGATTTCCGCCGATCCGATTCATTTCGATCGCCGATCCGACTTATCGATTCGATTCTGGGCTCTCCTGGCAGGACCTGTACTCGAACATCTCGAAGTTCAGCGTGGAGCAGGCCTGGCTGGCCGAGACCCTGGTCATGCTCATCCAGTTCCTGTGGGCGTCCACCGTCCTGAGGGACATCAACAACACCGTCACCATCTTTCGGGGCCTGAAGGGCATCCTGAGGAGCAGGAGGAGCTCGCGGCTGTTCCTTGCGGACCTGCAGGACTCCGACAGCGACGACGACAAGGAGAACGGGGTGGTGAAGACGAAGAGCAAGACGACGACCGAAGACGCGTGCGCGAAGATGACCGAGTCTAGCAGGACGTCGCAGCTCTACCAGAAGTCGGGGACCTTTCTGCGGTCATTGATCGAGCAGGACCACGGCGAGGACGAGCTGGCGCACTCCAACCTGATATCGATCATGAAGGTGGTCCGCTGGACAAGGATCTGGTACGGCCGCTTCTACGCGGTTTGCCTTCTCGTGTGCTGCCCGAAAATTATACTCGCTGGGGTCCTTTGGTGGGTGGGCGCCAAGTGGCTGGCACACACCATCAGCCTGACCGAACTGATCCTGAACGGTGTGGCGCTGGCCTTTGTGCTCGATTTCGACGAGTGCATCTTTGATATCTTCGTGCCGCGGAGGGTCAAGATCCTGGTCAACAATCTGGAGCCACTGCCGCTGATGACACGGAACGCCAGGGGAGGGACCCAGCTTTCGGTGATCAACTCCATGCTGAAAATTGGCGGGGCCTTTCTCGTGCTCGTCCTCCTGTATCTGTGGATGGACCCCCTCGTGTTCTGGCAGCTGCGACAGGCTGAGATGATCATGTGCCAGGGCCAGACAGACTTCATCTACACCGTGAACCCGGCCACAGGCCTGGTCCACGTTGCCAAGACGCCGTCCCGGACGGAGTGGACCCAGTCCGAGTACACCGTGGCTGGGGTGGCGCAGCCTCCCCTCCTCGACCCGCAGAATTACCACTGGGAGGAGACCGACATCACAGAGGAGATGTTCGCCCATTCCAGCGTGGATTCCTCGAGGGCCGTATTCGAGCCGAGGGCGCCGTCCCTCGCGGCGGCCGTGGCCAACGACGACAGCTTCAAGCGGATCATCCAGATGTCGTCGTGGAGCGTCGCGGACGCGGCCGCGTCGCTGCCGTGCGAGGACCTGGCCGAGAACCTCAATGTGGCCGCGGCGACCATGGAGCTGCGCCTGGTGACGGGCATCAGTGACCTCACCAACTGCTCGGAGGTGCCGCTGAAGATGTGCTCGGACCAGCACATGTACCAGCTGAGGGCGCTCTGCCCCAAGACCTGCGAGTGCGACGCCACCTTCCTGACCACCGGCTCCGGCCGGGTCGGCTTCTTCGGGACCCCGGGCTTCGGGTGCCCCACGCAGTGCTCGACGTTTCGGGCGGCAGAGAATGAGATCAGGTTCCGGTTCGACATGGCGCAGCCGAACTGGCCTCGGTTCACGCAGTGCACTGATTTCGACGTCGCCCAGTTCACCTTCCCAGGCAACTGTTCCAGCTCCAACCGCGACGACCATGGCGTTGAAGTTTTCGACAGATACTTCTTTGACTGCGCGGAGTACGAAAGAATTATGACCGCAAACATCGGCCGCAACGACCAGATCTGCGCAACGGCGGCCGGCGTCTGGGAGTACGGTGTCTTCGCAGAGCGAGACGACGGTGACTTCACCGCGTCTGAGATGTGCTGCATTTGCGGAGGTGGCAAATACAATGTGAAGAGCTCTGCAGAGTGCTGGGACGAGTGGACTAACGACTGCACGGACATGCCGCGAGAGAATCTCGCATGGTTTCGTTACGTGCAAGGCCTCTTCCAATACTTGTACTCCAGACCAGGGTTCGAAGACGGCGTGAGGAACGTCGTCAAAGAAGACTACGTCGGCATCTCTCCTTCGGAACGACAAGCAGAGGTAATCTTGGACTCCATCACGCTTGGTTGGTTCTTCAGGATGCTGGCGACCACGAGCAATTGGGAGATCGCGCCAGGCGTTCCGCACCCCCGCGGTCTGACCGGCTGCGAGTTTCTCGCTTCGTATGAGATCGCTTCTCTCCTCAATTTAGACTTGTGCAATCCAGTCGAGGGCACGTCCATCAAGTCTTTCTGTCCCAGCGCATGCCAGTGCACGGAAGCCAGCTCGCTCACCGAGTGCCCCGCCAAGTGCGTGTTTACAGATTGCGACGGTACTTGCCGACATGTTCACCCATGGTACAGCGAGGACGGGGCAGACTATGTTGGGGAGACGCTTTCGACGACTGCTAGCAATGGAACTGTCAGCTGTGAGGACACCGTTCCTGTCAATGCCACGAAGAAGTGTCCGAATGGAACCAATTTTGATTTGTGCCACGACAACGACGACGAAACATTCGTTGCCACAGTGCAGTGTTGTGCATGTGGGGGTGGATCCTTCTACAACCCTTGCCATAATGCGTATTCTCTGGGCTCTGTAGATGCGAATGGCCGCGGTTGCAGAGAATTGCAATCCTATTTAGACGCTGGACAGACTGTAAATTGTAGTGCCGACGACGACGATTTCACAGCTAGTGAGATGTGCTGCGCTTGCTCTGGAGGTAGCGAGACAGCTGCGATTGAGTTTACCATCCTAATCGACGGCATGGACCTGGATGACCTTTCGATTGCTCAACAGTCCGACGTGACCAGACACTTGAAGGATCTGGTCCTTCAGACAATCCTGGATTACAGCCCGAGCAGCACAATCGACGATGTGCAGATGGAGCTCCACCAGGGCTCAGTCATGGCATGCACGAGAATATTGTTCCGAGAGTTCTCCCCCCAGCAATTATTTTTTCTAGAGCGACGTGTCGTTCCAGTCGTAAGCGGGGCAAGTTTCAGCTCGAGCGTGAAGGATGCGATTGTTCTCGTTGACGGCTTGGACACCTCTCAGCTGTCGGTCAGCCTTTACGGCAGCATTTTGTACGGAGGCGTAGAAGAAGGATCGCCACTTGACGTGCCGATGATCGACCACAACTGCACCTGCGACTGTGTCAGCAATCTCAACAGTAACAATCAACCTTGTCAGTGGTACAATGGGTATTCTGAAGACGTGTTGGAAATAAGTTGCTATGAATGGGACGACGATGATTTTACGGCCGTCGATATGTGTTGCGCTTGCTCGGGGATGGTACTAGAAGAAGATCCGTGCGTCGACACCGCCGAAGAGGGCGCATTTGATCTTGCTTCTAATTCGTGTAAAGATTGGGACAAGCAAGCAGAATATTGCTCCTACGCATTCTATTACGACTCCGAAGATTTTTCTGCACAGGACATGTGCTGCGCTTGCGGCGGGGGCCAGATATGACGACAGGGGCTTCACCGCTTCGGAGTTATGCTGCGCCTGCGGCGGTTGAAAGACCGCGATACAGACGACGGTCAGTACTTGTCGTATTGGCATTACAAGTGTGACTCACCGCTGACGCTAACTACGAAGTTTTTGATCCGAGCTGAAGGTTTGTCTGAGGTCGTGATGAGCTGGGGAAACACTCCCGTGATCTTCAAACCTCTTGCCTACTGTTGGGGTCCATACATTGAATTGATTTCATCGTGTGTTACAGCGTCTGCATGCTTCCATGGCGTTCACCGCAACTGATCATCTGAAATATGGGGCGTGTTTGGCGCTTCCATTCCACTTCTGCTCGTCCGGTCAACGCGCATCTGGCGCGTCGGCTGGAGATTGGCGCGCATTTGGCGTGTCGATAGCCTCGCCGTTGTCGTTTGCCGGGCCCGGGCCCCGAGCGCGCTTGGCGGGACCGGGCCGCGAGGGGCGCCCCCAAGACCGCCCCCAAGCACATGAAAAGGGCCCCAAGAGGCCTCAAAGGGGGCCCAGCGCCGCTGAATATCGTTCTAACACGCCCAAGGTGACCTCCAGACGGCACAGAACGCTTCCAACACGGCCCAAGGGGTCTCCAAGAGCACTCTCAAAAGGGCCCCAAGAGGCAGTAATCATTCATTTTCCGAAGGTTTTTCGCGTTTCTGCCTTTTCGGCTTCTCGACGCTCCAAGACGGTCTCGGAGGCCCCGAATATCGCCCCGACACGGCCCTAGAGGCCCCCAAGGGCACCGAGACGGCCTAACAGGCCTCCCAGACGGCCCGAGAGACTTCCAAAGCAGCCCAAGAGGGCCCCAAGAACGCCTCAAGAGGGACCCCAGAGGAGGAACACGAACCGACATTTCGAGCTGTCCGCCCCTTGAGGCCCCCAAGAGGTCCCAAGCGGCTCCCAAGAGGCCCCCAAGAGGTTCCAAGAAGTCACCAAGAGGCCCCCAGGAAGCGCCAGGAGGCCGCCAAGAGGCCCCCAAAAGCTTCCCCCCAGACGTCCTGAGACACTCCTGCCGATCCGCAACGCCGTCCCATCACCGAGTGCCAGTTGCATCCCATGTCCTGCTCATCCGCCGTACTGTGCTTCTTTCGCGCGTCGTCGTCGTCATCGTCGTCGTCGTCATCGTCGTCATTAGTGGTGGTGCCACCTGGAAGGCTTGATGAGCGTCTGGCAGTGATGTTTTAGCGATGTGGTGCCTTCTTGGGGCTGTCCTGCAAGTCTCCTGTGGCGTCTTTGGGGCCTCTTGGTCAGTGTGGCGCCCTGGAGGGGGCTTCTGAAATCGTCTTGGGGCGAGCTTTCGCCCTTTGGGGCTGCTGTGGAGCGTCAGTAGGCCGAAAAGGTTGAATCCAACAGGAACAACCAAGAACAAACGGGAAATTGAACAACCGTTCAGGACAGCACTCCAGGACTGATCACTCCAGTGCCGTGTGCACAGATTATTACTGCTCGAGTAGTTGTGTGACTCTGCCGCCCATGGCAGCAGCAATTCCAGCGGGCTGCAGCCCAAGGTAACAGCTCATGTGCAGCGCTGGCCGTTGCATCTCTAGTACGTCCTGTTACACACAAATTACCCTGCGACGTACCCAACCCATTCTATACATGTGGTGGTTACATTCGGGACCACTCAATGCTGACGGACATGCTGAAAAACCCGCAGTGCGGAAGAAGAGCACCCATCAGTGAACTCAGAAGAGCGCAGAAAGAAGAGCAGCGGCAACTCGTAAGGCGTAACTCTGCTGGGCCTCCCAGGAGCCCACGAACGTGGCGACAGTTGCGCAGATCGCAGCCCGCCAGGACAACGCGAGGTCTCGAGGTGATCCGCGTGGGACCCACCTCCGCTGGGCCTCCCAGGAGCACACGAAAGTGGCGACAGTTGCGCAGATCGCAGCCCCCAGGGCACCGCGAGGTCTCGAGGTGATCCGCGTGAGACCCACCTCCGCTGGGCCTCCCAGGAGCCCACGAAAGTGGCGACAGTTGCGCAGATCGCAGCCCCCAGGGCACCGCGAGGTCTCGAGGTGGTCCGCGTAGGACCCACCTCCGCTGGGCCTCCCAGGAGCCCACGAAAGTGGCGACAGTTGCGCAGATCGCAGCCCCCAGGGCACCGCGAGGTCTCGAGGTGATCCGCGTGGGACCCACCTCCGCTGGGCCTCCCAGGAGCCCACGAAAGTGGCGACAGTTGCGCAGATCGCAGCCCCCAGGGCACCGCGAGGTCTCGAGGTGATCCGCGTGGGACCCACCTCCGCTGGGCCTCCCAGGAGCCCACGAAAGTGGCGACAGTTGCGCAGATCGCAGCCCCCAGGGCACCGCGAGGTCTCGAGGTGATCCGCGTGGGACCCACCTCCGCTGGGCCTCCCAGGAGCCCACGAAAGTGGCGACAATTGCGCAGATCGCAGCCCCCAGGGCACCGCGAGGTCTCGAGGTGATCCGCGTGGGACGTACCTCCGCTGGGCCTCCCAGGAGCCCACGAAAGTGGCGACAGTTGCGCAGATCGCAGCCCCCAGGGCACCGCGAGGTCTCGAGGTGATCCGCGTGGGACCCACCTCCGCTGGGCCTCCCAGGAGCCCACGAAAGTGGCGACAGTTGCGCAGATCGCAGCCCCCAGGGCACCGCGAGGTCTCGAGGTGATCCGCGTGGGACCCACCTCCGCTGGGCCTCCCAGGAGCCCACGAAAGTGGCGACAGTTGCGCAGATCGCAGCCCCCAGGGCACCGCGAGGTCTCGAGGTGATCCGCGTGGGACCCACCTCCGCTGGGCCTCCCAGGAGCCCACGAAAGTGGCGACAGTTGCGCAGATCGCAGCCCCCAGGGCACCGCGAGGTCTCGAGGTGATCCGCGTGGGACCACCTCCGCTAGGCCTCCCAGGAGCCCACGAACGTGGAGACAGTTGCGCAGATCACAGACCCCAGGGCACCGCGAGGTCTCGAGGTGACTCGCGTGGGACCCACCTCCGCTGGGCCTCCCGGGAGCCAACGAAAGTGGCGACAGTTGCGCAGATCGCAGCCCCTAGGGCACCGCGAGATCTCGAGGTGATCTGCGTGGGACCTTCCTCCGCTGGGCCTCCCAGGAGCCCACGAAAGTGGCGACAGTTGCGCAGATCGCAACCCCCAGGGCACCGCGAGGTCTCGAGGTGATCCGCGTGGGACGTACCTCCGCTGGGCCTCCCAGGAGCCCACGAAAGTGGCGACAGTTGCGCAGATCGCAGCCCCCAGGGCACCGCGAGGTCTCGAGGTCATCCGCGTGAGACCCACCTCCGCTGGGCCTCCCAGGAGCCCACGAAAGTGGCGACAGTTGCGCAGATCGCAAGCCCCCAGGGCACCGCGAGGCACCGAGGTGATCCGCGTGGGACCCACCTCCGCTAGGCCTCCCAGGAGCCCACGAACATGGCGACAGTTGCGCAGATCGCAAGCTTCCCAGGGGGCGGCGAGGTCTCGAGGTGATCCGCGTGGGACCAACCTCCGCTGGGCCCCCCAGGAGCCCACGACAGTGGAGACAATTGCGCAGATCGCAAGCCCCCCAGGGGGCGGCGAGCTACCGAGGTGATCCGCGTGGGACCCACCTCCGCTGGGCCTCCCAGAAGCCCACGAAAATGGCGACAGTTGCGCAGGTCGCAAGCCCCCCCAGGGGGCGGCGAGGTCTCGAGGTGATCTGCGTGGGACCCACCTCCGCTGGGCCTCCCAGGAGCCCACGAAAGTGGCGACAGTTGCGCAGATCGCAAGCCCCCCAGGGGGCGGCGAGGTCTCGAGGTGATCCGCGTGGGACCCACCTCCGCTGGGCCCCCCAGGAGCCCACGAACATGGCGACAGTTGCGCAGATCGCAGCCCCAAGGGCACCGCGAGGTCTCGAGGTGATCCGCGTGGGACCCGCCTCCGCTGGGCCTCCCAGGAGCCCACGAAAGTGGCGACAGTTGCGCAGATCGCAGGCCCCCCAGGGGGCGGCGAGCTACCGAGGTGGTCCGCGTGGGACCCACCCCCGCTGGGCCTCCCAGAAGCCCACGAAAATGGCGACAGTTGCGCAGGTCGCAAGCCCCCCAGGGGGCGGCGAGGTCTCGAGGTGATCTGCGTGGGACCCACCTCCGCTGGGCCTCCCAGGAACCCACGAAAGTGGCGACAGTTACCTCCGCTGGGCCTCCCAGGAGCCCACGGAAGTGGGGACAGTTGCGCAGATCGCAAGCCCCCAGGAGGCGGCGAGGTCTCGAGGTGATCCGCGTGGGACCCACCTCCGCTGGGCCTCCCAGGAGCCCACGGAAGTGGCGACAGTTGCGCAGATCGCAAGCCCCCAGGGGGCGGCGAGGTCTCGAGGTGATCCGCGTGGGACCCACCTCCGCAGGGCCTCCCAGGAGCCCACGGAAGTGGCGACAGTTGCGCAGATCGCAAGCCCCCCAGGGGGCGGCGAGGTCTCGAGGTGATCGGCGTGAGACCCACCTCCGCTGGGCCTTCCAGGAGCCCACGACAGTGGAGACAGTTGCGCAGATCGCAAGCCCCCCAGGGGGCGGCGAGGTCTCGAGGTGATCCGCGTGGGACCCACCTCCTCTGGGCCTCCCAGGAGCGCACGAAAGTTGCGACAGTCGCGCAGATCGCATGACCCCCAGGGGGCGGCGAGGTCTCGAGGTGATCCGCGTGGGACCCACCTCCGCTGGGCCTCCCAGGAGCCCACGAACGTGGCGACAGTTGCGCAGATCGCAAGCCCCCCAGGGTGTGAAATATATGGTGTCCGTGCTGATCTGTAAGCAGTGTAGCATAGCATGCCAGCAAGCAAGCAGAGTGTACGAACATTCAGGCGAGAGGTAACATGTCCTTCCGTATCCATTTGGGCTCAATTCGTTGCAGGGCCCTTGAGCTTGGGCGTATCGGTAGATACCTTTGCAGGTCTCGCTGATCAACAAACCGTCGCCTATCTTCGCATACACATTTACATCATTGCTGATATCAAACCTTGCGGTTTCCATCGCTCTAAGACCCCTCTTCGCAATATCGGGTCTGCATTGGTAGCAGGGGCTAACTCGACCGCGGCAACGTGCGCGACTTCGCAGAGTCAATACGCAGGCGCACTACAAGCTCGTGATTGCGATTGATACCTCTCATTCGGAGTTGCCGCAAGCATGGCGACTATTGGAGAAGCCGCTGCAGCCAGCGGCGAGGACAAGAACAGCGGGGGCAAGATTCCCGTACCCGTCTTCGACGGCACGAACAAGACGATAATGAAGTTCCGCCGGGAGGTCGCCGTCTGGCAGATTGGCACCGAGATGAAGCTGCCCAAGCAGGGCGCGACGCTTTTGGCCAGCCTCAAGGGCAAGGCCGAGGAGGCGTGCGAGGAGCTCGACCTAGAGACCATCAAGGGCGACGGTTCGGTGGAGGTTTTCTTGGAGGGCCTCGGGAAGCGCTTTCCCGAGATCGAGGTACTGGAGTTACCAGCGCTCCTGGGGACATTCGTGAAGCCGGCGTGCATCCGGCACAAGTTCGAGGAGATCCGCCATTTCAGAAATCGCTTCAGAGGCATTGCGACGAAACTGAAGGCCAAAGACATAGAGGTGCCCGACGAGGTCTTGGCCGACCTGTACATCAAGGGCGTCCGCTTGCCACCGGAGCACGCGGCGAGCGTGCTCAACGGCGTGGGCAACAAGTTCAATCCGACGAAGATCCAGGAGCAGCTCATGATCAATTCGCCCAAAGCATCGGTCGTGGACGACCACGAGGAGCATCACCACGACAAAGGCGGCTACGGAGGTCACAGAAAAGGACCACAAGAAGGTGTGCGCCACGGAGGCCTACGACGAGGCCGAGAACGACGGCGCGTCCACCGACAGCTCCGAAGGCTACGGCGACGACTTGCGGGACGATCTACAGGACGTGATAGACGAGGCGGAGGAGCAGGTGGCTTCCTTCACCAAGAAGATGGTGCGCGCCAAGGACAAGCTAAAGGAGGCCAAGCAGGCGCGCGGCTACTTCGCCAAGCGAGACGGCGGGCGCCCGCCGAATAAGGGCGACGCCAAGATCGCCGAGATGAAGGCGAGGACGCAATGTGGAGCTCGTGGCCAGAAGGGCCACTGGCGCGGCGGCCCGCAGTGCCCCAAGAAGAACGAACCCAACGCGAGGGCCGACATCCCTCGAAAGGGAAGTCACACTACGAACCTGACTACGAACGACGGGGCCGGCGACGCGCAGGAGCCCCACGTCGCGGAGATGACGGTCGCGGCGGTCTACCAGCACGAGCAGCTGAGAGCGGCGCGAGACCGGAGGAAGGTCACCTTCGGCAGCGCGCTGCACGACATCGACTGGACGAACATGCGCCAGCAGGCCAACGTGCCCGAGGAGGTGGCGGCCGCCTCGTTCTACACCAACAAGGACAACCAATGCCTCATGGCCGCGACGGGTTCGGCGCACATCTACATCAGCGTCGAAGACCTACTCGAGGAGTCGGGCGGCGAGCTGACTTTCGACACCGCCTGCTCGCGTTGCGTCGGCGGCCTGGACTGGTACAACGATATCAAGAAGAAGCTGGCGGCCTTCAACATCCAGCCGATCGAGTGCCCGAAGAAGGAGTCTCTCCGCTCCGGAGCGTCCAAGCTTGTGCACAGCCGCAAGTCGGCGCTGATTCCCTGCTCGGTGAACGGCAAGGCCTTCACCGTGCGTGTGAGCATCGTGCGCAGCGCCGTGCCGGGACTGTTCAGCCGCCAGGCCCACAGCGAATTGGACATTCTCTACCACGCGGCTGGCAACAAGCTGGACATCAAGTCCGTCAACGAGCACGGCATCCAGATGGGCCTGGGCCGCGCCGGACACCCGACGCTCGAGATTACAGGCGTCGCGCCAAGGTGCAAGCACGTGTCGGACGTCTCGGACACCGAGACCGAGATCCGGCTGCATCCTTTTGCGACTTACCACGCTGAGACAGCCGTGGCCAGCGCTGCCAAGCTGGCAGCGCCCGAGCGCTGCGACCAAGGGGTCGTCTCGGAGGCCGACGAGTCTCAGTCGGAGACTGACTGCGACGAGCTCGATAGCGCTGAACTGTTCGAGCAGCAATTGCGCCAGGCCATGTGCGCATGCATTCCATCGCGTCAGTCATCGTCGGGGTCGGAGGATGAGGCATGGGGAGTTCTTCCTGCGCCCGCCAGCGCAGCACAGATCATGCAAACCGATCATACTGGGCGAGGAGCTAAACCAGACAGCGACCCTCGGCCACAACGCGTTCGATTTCAGCAGCAAACAAAGCTACGATATCAGCAATCAGCACGGAGTCATCAATCTACATCATCACCGCAGCCATCCGAATGGAGTTCATCTCAGGCCCCAACAGCTTTTACGACGCGTGCCGTGGCAGATCCAGCCACCGCAGCTTTTCACGAACCGGCGGCCGGCGCTCATGCCTCCGTCGCAGCCGAAATGTATGATATCTCCCAGGGCGACGAACCGGGAGGCCAGCTACTCGAACACGCCGACGCCGAGTACTTCCCGCCTGCCGGCGATCTCTAGCATGCGGATGGGGGGCCCACAGGCGGGGGTGGCAAGCTACGAGTTGGATGTGCGCGACGCGACGTGCGACCAGCTCCGAGTCATCCCGCGCGCGCTGAGGGCCCAGGGACAGGACAAGAAGGCGCAGGACATCCCCGGGCTCGGCAAGATGCACGCGCACGAGCCCCAGGAGTTCCGCTGGGCGAAGGACATCGACTTCGACCAGCACGCCACCGTGCCGGAACTCAGGCAGCGCCTGCAGGGCTGGAAGGTCGAGGACGCGGTCAGCGGCGCCTCGAGCAACGTGGCTCATCCAAGCTTGCAGATCACGGGGAACGAAAAGATGCGCTTCGGCAAGTACCCGACTGCGGATTACCGCTGGGTGCTCAAGAACGACCTGGGCAACGCGCGGTGGGCGGTGCTGGAGCTGAACAACGGCTGGGCGAGCCCGCTCCTGGCGCGCTTCGCCAGGTGGGTCAAGGCTCACGGAGTGAAGCCGCCCGAGCCCGAGAAGGCCAAGACCGCCATCGAGGCGGCGATGGCCGAGGAGGTGGTCCTGGACGACGAGTCGGCGACGCCGGCGGCGACGACCCAGCGGGCCTCAGCAAGCCAAGGCAGCTCGGCGGGTCACCGCCGCCCGAGGCCGGTCGAGGGGCACGAGATGGACACCGGCGGCCACGGCTTCCAGAAGGCGGGCGAGACCGACCAGGAGACGGACGCGGCGTCTCCGCAGGACAGAGCCTAGGCGGCGGCGGCCGCCAGGACCAGCCGCCAGCCTCGGGCCTGCGGCCAGGCATCAAGAAGGGCAAGCGCGTCGGCCTACTCTGTATACCAGGTCACGGGCTTGCTGAGCGCCTTCGCTTTTCAGGCGGTGCTCACTGCGGACTGGCCGCCCCGACCTCTCAAGCCGCTCGCTCAGTATGCGACGAGCGCCGCGCGGGGCGTGGCGGGCCACATGAGGAACTTCAAGGAGGTCTACGCCGTCCAGAGCCACGGCGTGGACGCCATGCAGGTCTTCGGAGGCGAAGGCGGTATTACCGAGGCGGCAGTGCGCCGCAACATGACAGCCACGGAGGTGATCCACCGCAAGTTCGGCTGGGACCTCCGCAAGCAGAAGGACCTCGAGATGACGTGCGAGCGGTACTACGCATCGAGGCCGAAGTTCGCGTCGATCGAGCTCGAGCTATCCTGCGCCTACTACGCGAACATTGCAAACTTCAACTTCCGCGCGCCGCCGGGCAAGCAGGCGCTGCGGCGGCTGCGGCGCGCGGAACGGCCATTCCTTTTCTTGGCCCGCGACCTCTTCAAGTCTCAGCTCGATCCAGGCGGCGTCGCCATGATCGAGAACCCGGCCACCAGCCGGATCTGGACGCAGCGCATCATGATGGAGCTACTTGCCGACAAGCGCGTGTACCAGGTGATGTGCGAGTACGGGGCTCGATGCTACAAGACGGGGGGGCTCATCAAGCACCCCGCCAAGTTGCTCGTCGCCCATAAGGAGTACGAGCGGCCACGCCGCACCTGCAGCCGCAAGCGCCACGACCAGACGCTGGGGGACAACATGGCGGTGCGGAAGTCTGGCGTTTATCCAGCCAAGTCCTGCCGAGCGGTGGTGCGCGTCGTCGAGCAGATCATTCGCCGCCAGGGTGGGCCTCGCGCCTACCAGGTGGACTGCGGCGCTTCCTCGTTGCCCTTCATCGCGACGGAGCTGAAGGAACAGGCCACCGCCTGCGCGAACGATACCGCGCCCCTGGGAGAGACGGGCGAGCCTATTGGGGATCCAGACCCCATGGGCGGCGGAGACGACTCCGCCGACACTCGCGACGTGAAGGCCGACGAGACTGTGGGCTGAGCGGCAGGATCGGGGTCGGCGCGATCACTGCCACAAAGAAAGCAGCAGCCTGCTGCGAGCCAGCCGAGCTGACCACGCTCAAGAGACTCCACGTTAACTTGGGCCATCCGTCCAATGAAGACTTGGGCCGCAGTCTGCGACTCAAGGGCACTAAGTAGGCCACCGTGCAGGCCGTCAAGGGGCTGATCTGCGGAGCGCGCCGCTCGCAGCAGCGCCCGAGCGCAAGGAGACCAGCGCACTTCCACTTCGTGCAGGATTTCGGCGACGACGTGGGCTCCGATTGCTTCGAGCTCAAGGACGTCGACGGCAAGAGCTACTGGTACTTCAGCATCGTCGACTTGGCCACTACCTTTCACTTCGCGACGCTGATCGGTCGCCACGCCAGCCAGGAGTTCGCTACGGCCTTCGAAAGGTGCTGGGCCTCCTGGGCCGGCGTCGACATGGAGAGGGGATTCGGCGGCGTTCTCAGCGATTTGTTCCAGTCTTTCGACACGGTGCAGCTACCGGTCGCTGGACAGGCCCACTGGCATCTCGGTCGAGTGGAACGTCAGGGAGCCTGGTGGAAGGAGCTAGCTGCGAGGACGATCGAGCGCTCGTCGATCAGGGGCGAGGGCGAGATGCGGACGCTGGGCATTATGGTGTCGGGCGCGAAGAACTCGCTGAGGAGGCGGGCCCGCTTCAGCCCCCCGCAGCGGGTTCTGGGGCGCGATCCCAAGATGCCCGCCGACCTGGTGGGCGACACGGCCAATTGCAGTGCCCACAGCCTCGCCGCCAATGACGAGAAGATTCGCCGCCGATATGCTATTCGGACGGCGGCGCGCGAGTCGTTCATGCGGTTGCAGAACGACGACCAGCTCAGACGAGCCATGCTGGCTCGCGCGCGCACCGTGGCCACACCTTTGTCAGTGGGCGAGATGTGCTACATGCTCCGCCAAGTCAAGATGAAGGAGCAGAAGGAGCAGCACAACCGCAACGCCAAGAGGGGCATCTGGCGGGGGCCGTGCGTGGTTATCGGTCACCAGGGCAACAACACCTGGGTCTCGCTGGGAGGGCGCGCCATGCTGGCGGCCCCAGAGCACATCAAGGCGCTCGCTCCGGACGACGTCTGGTTCCCGAACAGCCGAGACGAGATCGGCCAGGCCGTGGCCGAGCTCAACAGGGCTCGCGACTCACTCGAGCAGGAGGAGGCCCTGGTGGAGGACATCCGCCCGGAGCCGGGCCAGCCCGAGGTCCGGCCAGACGAGATGGAGCAGGCGTGGCGGAAGTTCATCGACAGCCCAGACGACGACGACCTGTGTCTGAACGTTCCTGAGGACCCGAAGCCCCAGGAGCAGATCGAGGTGCTGCCCGCCGACCGAGCCGACATACCTCAGTCAGCCTTGGAGGAGCAGCCCTACGGCCCCGCCGAGTTCCGACGACGGAGAGCGACCTTCGACGGGACGGACAGCGGCAACCTCGGCCCGGCCCGCAAGCGCCTGCAGACCGCCAAGGAGCACGCGGGCTCCGGAGGACCGCCCCCGAGGGCAGCCTCGCGCGATCGGGCGGCCGTGCCCGACGGCGGAGCAGCGGCCGGATCCGAGACGGAGGGCGCTAGAGAAGCGATGCAGACCTCCATCGCCACCGAGAGGACCAAGGGCAAGCAAGCCGACGAGGAGATCCGCTGGAGGGCCATCAAGGACTCTGACAGGGAGCTCTACCGAGAGGCGGCGGCCAAGCAGTGGAGCGAGTGGCAGAAGTACGGATCATTTCAGGTGCTCACCATCGAGGAGTCCGAGGCGGTCAGTGGCATGGTCAAGGCCAACCTCATCTTGCCCAGCCGGTTCGTGCACCGGGACAAGAATCGCGCCGCTGCGGACTGACAAGCACCCGCTGCCGGTCAAGGCCAAGGCCCGACTCTGCGTCGGGGGCTACATGGACCCGCGTCTCGCTCAGGGCGACCTGCGCACAGACGCGCCTACGGTCACCCGCAACTCAACTATGCTGTTCTTCACCATCTGCCAGAGGCTCGACCTGGAGATTTACGCAGCGGACGTGGAGGTGGCTTTCATGCAAGGCGACGAGCAGCCCGACCAGCAGTTGTGCATGGCTCAGCCTCGCGAAGGCTTACCTGGGCTGCACCCGAAGCAGTTGATCAAGATCCTCAAGAGAGTCTTTGGGCTAGCCACCGCACCGTGACAGTGATGGGCTAAGCTCAAAAGGACCTTGCTTGCGGTGGAGGAGAAGCTCGGTGACTACGTGTTTCGCCTTCGCCAGCATTCGCACGACAAGCTCGGGGAGCTGTGCGCGGTGGTGGTCGCCCGCGTGGACGACCTGCTGCTGGGCGTCTCGCCCAAGTACCCGAGACTGTACGACCGGCTCTACAAGTTCCTGCCGTGGGGCGACTGGAGAGGCTTGCCATTCACCTTTCGTGGCAAGCAGGCGTGGCGCGATGAGGAGGGGTCTTGCACCTACGCCAGACGGAGTTCGCGGACGCGATCGAGGAGATCGCGCTCAGCAAGGAGCGCAAGACGGAGCTGTCGGCGGAGGCGACGCCTGCCGAGTTTTCGGATAATCGCTCCGCCCTCGGAGCGCTCGGATGGCTCTCATGGCAGACTCGACCAGACCTGTCAGCTGGAGTGGCCATGCGACAGCACACCCAGAACAAGCCCACCATCCAGGACCTGCTCGAGACGAATCGGCTCATCAAGCTGGCGCGGAAGCACGCGGACGTGGGACTGGAAGTCCCGAAGCTACGTGGACCGTTTTGCCTGGTCACCTACCACGACGCCAGCTGGGCTAATGCTGACGAGCCACCTGAAGGTGTCGTAGAGATCGTGGGCAGCAAGGACAAGAAGGTCAAGATCCGCTCGCAGGCCGGCTACGTGACGTTCGTCGCCGAGGTCAAGCTGGCGTGCGGCGATTAGGCGCGAGCGGGAATCGTTGATTGGCGATCGGGCACCATCAAGAGGGTTTGCTGATCTTCTTTGGCAGCTGAGGCGGTGTCAGGGGTAGACGCTTTAGGCTGTGCTCAGATCACACGGTGTGTTTTCGCTTCGCTGGAGATGCCGGATGCTGCTCATCCGGAAGATATCCCACCGAGTTTGTTGCCGCTTGCTCAGGCCACAGATTGCGCTAGCTTGTGCGATATGATGCACAAAGGCGGCCACCCCAAGCTCCCGTCTGAGCGGCGCCTTTTGCTAGACCTGGTAGGCCTCAAGGAATTACTAAGAAGAGGAAATAAGTAACGAATTCTTTGCCGACGATCAGTGCAGCCAGCTGCCTCTCTTTTGGGCTCCGACTGACCAGCATCTCGGATATCAATTCACCAAGCGATCTGACGGCAGTGCCATCAGGGCAGTGCTGCGAGACACACGCCTCGCACTGCAGCGCCAAGAGCCAACTGACCAGGCCCGAGAGCACGAGGCACATATGGAAAGTGCCGGCTCGCTTTTCAAGCGCGCCATCCGCCTGGTTTCAGGATAGAGCGCATCAGGCGCTCGGTTTCAGCTTAGTTAGTTTACGTGAGATTTAACACGTCTAGATGATTTCAGACCAGAGATGCACATATCAGAAGAATTGTGCAAGAGTGTGAAATAAATCGTGTCCGTGCTGATCTGTAAGCAGTGCTGCATAGCATGCCAGCAAGCAGGCAGAGTGTGCGAACATTCAGGCGAGAGGTAACATGTCCTTTCGTATCCATTTGGGCTCAATGTGTTTCAGGGCCCATCGGGCTTGGGCGTATCGGTAGATACTTTTGCAGGTCTCGCTGAGCAACAAACCATCGCCTATCTTCGCAGATACATTTACATCATTGCTGATATCAAATGTTGCGGTTTTCATCGCTCTAAGACCCCTCTTCGTAATATCGGGTTGACACAGGGGGGCGGCGAGCTATCGAGGTGATCCGCGTGGGACCCACCTCCGCTGGGCCTCCCAGGAGCCCACGAAAGTGGCGACAGTTGCGCAGATCGCAAGCCCCCCAGGGGGCGGCGAGGTCTCGAGGTGATCCGCGTGGGACCCACCTCCGCTGGGCCTCCCAGGAGCCCACGAAAGTGGCGACAGTTGCGCAGATCGCAAGCCCCCCAGGGGGCGGCGAGCTACCGAGGCGATCCGCGTGGGACCCACCTCCGCTGGGCCTCCCAGGAGCCCACGAAAGTGGCGACGGTTGCGCAGATCGCAAACCCGACGGCACGAGAGAGAAGAGGAGAGGGGAACACAGGAAACAGGAGAGGACGAGGGGAGGAGAGGGGAGGAGGAGGAGGAGGAGGAGGAGGAGGAGGAGGAGGAAGACGGGGCGACCACATTGCTCTATTCAAAACGAGTACCCAACCATAGGAGGGTTGGAAACAAGAGAGGAACTCCGCGGCAAGCAGCATCACAGCATCGTCGTGGAAACCTCGTGGAGCCTCTCGGGGGCCATCTGGGCCGTCGGGGCGCCTGCGTGGTACGCCTCGGGAGCGTGGTGGGCCATGTGGAGGCATTTACACGCGTTTGGGACGATTTTCCGGCGATCCTGGGGCGAGTCGGGGCTCTCTGGGCGTGTATAGGGCCTTGGGAGCCCCCAGTTGACCAAAACACGCAATTTCGGGGAACGCAGCGCCGCGAACAGTCCTAAATCGTATCAGAACACCATCCCTAAGACGTCAACGCCGCGAATCAACGTGACTGCTGCGTCCTGACAATCCTACAGCGAGCGAAACCACAACTCCGTGGACTACAACCATACGAATCCTTCAACATGCTGCATACTTTCAAGACGAATGTGCGCGGCGCTATTGCGAGAGCCACATTTTGAAAAGGAATTGCCCTCCATCCTTGAAGCCGTTTCAACTTGTACGACTAACGTGCGCAGCGCGAAAACGGGAGCCACAGTCTGAAGACGTGCCGCCCTCCATCCGCAAGGGAAGCTTGTCAGGGGAATGTGCGTGGCGCGAAGGCCAGAGCTCCGTTTTGAAATCGAGCCGCCCTCTATCCGTGATTTTGCGGCAACTTGCAAGCTTCAGGAGCACAAGCGGTGAGGAGGTCTCAGGCGAAACGCCCGGCCCGCCCTAAAGACTCGTCTGGGGGTGCGGCAGGGAGGAGCTATCTATGAGGAGAAAGGTTTGAAGAGGAGGAGGAGGAGGAGGAGGAGGAGGAGGAGGAGGAGGAGGAGGAGGAGGAGAGAGATGCGGAGGAGGAGGAGGAGGAGGAGGAGGAGGAGGACGACGAGGAGGAGAGGAGGGGCAGGTGAGGAGGGAGGAGGGAGGACGAGGGAGGTGTGCGGACAGAGGAGGCCCGGAGCACTCCTGTCTCGGCGGTGGTGCCTTCTGCGCGCCCCGGCGGCCCTGTTTGCGGGCAGTGACGCGCGTCGATTGCCCCCACCACGTCGGGGGTGGTGTGTTCGTCATTTTTTTGGTGTGCCCCCTCTCTCCTCCGTTTTCCCCTCTCCCGCCTTCCGAGCAATTCGCCTCTCAGTGGCCCCACTTAGTTCTATCGCTGGTGCAGCCAGTCTGCCTCGCTGCCGACGGCACGGCGTTCGTCACTTTGTGGGGGAGGGTGTTGGCTTCTGCCGGGTCTGGGGATCGACCCTCAATCGCCCACTGATCGCCGATGGCGGCCTGATGGCCCACCCCGCCAAGACCCGTGCGGGTTCGCCATCGGAGGCCTGTCGCCGACGCCGATTCCAGGTCGATGCCCCCCCCTTGAACCAGTCCCCCCCCCTATCGTTCAGCGAGCGAAGAACGATATAAAATTCACTTTTTCGCTGTCGGGTGCTCCTGTCCCAGGGCGGCTGGAAAGTTTATACCCTTACGGTGGCACCGTAGGGGTATGAACTTTCCCAGCTGGGGCAGGTGTCCCCGACGGCGAAAAAGTTTACCCTATACCGTTCTTCGCCCGTTAACTATCGTTGCCCCTCAGCCCCGGAGGGGCCCAGATCGAGGAAGCGCAGGCGCGAGGCGCGTGGATCAGCGGTGTGCCCCGTGGGCTTCGGCGCGCTTTCGCCCTTCAGGCCGCGCGGCACTGGCGCCGTGCTTCGGGGGGTGCCTTCCCCGGCCCGCGTGGACTTGGCGCGCACGCGCCAGGTCCACGGATCCGCAGTCAATCGTGTTAGCTCGGGGGCGGAAAAGAGGGGGGTGATGACTAGGGGGGGGTGGATATCATGGCGTGGGCCATGATATCTCCCCAGATTTCGTGGCGCCTCTTCTTATTTTATTACGTCCTTGGCCCCCCCGCTGGGCCGCGCACACGCCGCCGGTCATGATTTGCACCCCCCCCTCTTGGACACCCCCTTCTTGGCCGCTCCCGATTAGCGCGTGTCCGACCGGGAGCTCCGTGCTCCCCGCTCTCTCGCCCTTTCCGAGGTCCGTCGGCGCAGCGTTTTGTGTTGATCGTTGTGCTTCCCCACATGTTTGGGGAGAGGTTGGCTTTTCTTCGCGCGCGGGGCTGATTGTTGTTTTTCTCCGCGCGCAGGTGCACGGTCCTGGAGGGGATGGCCTTCTGCCTGGACCACGCCGACATGGCCGTCGAAATCGCCGAGTGCATAACCCAGGCTTGGGCACGGCGATTTGGTTGCTGCCTCTTCCAGGGCAGACCGCACATTCCATTTACGAGTCAGGAGGAGGAAGAGGAGGAGGAGAAGGAGGAGGAGGAGGAGGAGGAGGAGGAATTGGAACAAGAAACAAGGGATTAAAAATCAACTTTTGAAGTTCCGCGCGGATATCTTGGATCTGAGCTGGGCCCCCCTGGCGGCTCCTCTGGCGCCGTCCCTGGCGCGCTCCGCGAACCATGGAGCGGGGTCCAGAGCAGATCCCAGAGATCCGCGCGGACCTCCAAAGTTTTATGCTTATGCCATCTTTTGATCATGCTGACCAGCGGCGATGTAGGCTTGTGACTGCCGTGGAAGTGCTGGAGGCGGAAGCAGCTTTGAATCCATACGTGTGTATCTATATGTAGAGAGAGAGGGAGAGAGAGAGAGAGAGAGAGACCAGCAGTGTTCAGACAGGAAGAACAGGAGGAGGACGACGACGTGGAGGAGGAGGACGAGAAGGAGGAGGAGGGGGAGGAGGAGGATAAGGAAGAGGAGGGGGGTGGAGGAGGAGGAGGAGGAGGAGGAGGAGGAGGAGGAGGAGGAGAAGGAGGACGACGGCGACAAGAGTGACTCCGTAGCCATTTTGGCTCAAGCCGCCTGCCGGGGCCCGCCTTCTTCCCGCATAGGGCGGTAGTTTGGCGGCTGGGGAAGCGCGGCAGTCGACACCACGGGCTGCCCTGGCCTCGTAGACGAGACTCGTCCTGGAGGTGCTCGTCGTTGGCATTTCCGAAAGCCTGGCTTTATGGTTTCTGGTCGGGGACTTTTGGATAGCGTGTCGCTCCGCAGGTTCTGGCACACAACGCCTCGGTGCAACACGCTATCCACATCCCAGCCCCCCAGCGTCCACGCATCGAGCCTTTCCGAGCTTCCCGCCCCGCGGGGCGGAGCGACACGCTATCCGCTCGCAAGGCATAGCGTGTCGCCAGGGCAGCCGTGGCGACACGCTCTGCACAAATTCCCGACCGTACCGCCTCCTCGTCTCATCTCGATACGGGGGCCGCGTATTGCAAACTGTATCTCGAACTTGCCAAGACTGTCAGTCCGTTCTGCTACGCTGCGCGTGCACACAGGATCGAGTTTTCGTTCACCGACGACGTCTACGCATCATATTTTTGGGGATATCCATCGCAATGTTTAAATGCACGCTTGAACAGTACTGGTGGGGGCACCCAGTGAAGGATTTCACAAACATGCGGCTGAATGTATTCCGTGCGCCGGTTCTCTGACACCACCAGTGGCGCCCGATGGGATGGATGGCACAGCGCAGCCGCAACTACGACCTTCCACATCGAGCCTGCCAACGTATGCTATTGCGCCGCCCTCCTCGTCACACAGTCCGCCATCCATTCACACGTTTTTATTGCCGCCTTGCCCGTCTCGATCAGCAGCTGATTTTACGAGTGGCGGTGGACATAGCAACAGCTCCAAAATGACACAGGTGGATTATCAAGTGTGAGACACAAGTTGTCAAGGATATGCTATAACACTAAACAGGGGCCACCTGTAGCGCATCCCCAGCCTCCTCCCGCAACTATTGGGGGTCAAGCTTTCTGGCCTCCATCCCCTGTGCCTCAGCGGGTCACTGGAGAGACTGGGTTTCGAGCGCTACACACAACATGTTCGCGCTCAGTCTCGGTTCAAGCAGGGGGGGAGTTTTCGAAGCAATGTCACGGGGCGCGTCGGCGTCCAGGGACCGGGTTCCATGATCCATGTGCCCCGACTGCATAGTGCGCGGGTAGATCGAAGTGCTTGTCAAAGCAAGATGCGTACGACGTGGTTGTAGTTTCCGTGTGCCGCTGTACAAAAGGTCGCTCGACGTCGGAGGGGCGATCAGTCAGCTTTGACCTGGCTAGCGGCGACGGGGAGCAACTGGTGGTTCCCCGAGGGGCCTGCAGGAGGGATGGCCAGGGCCGCGACGATGCCGCGGGCGGTCACCGCGGCGCGGGCCCTGGCGTAGCTGCCATATTGCAGCAGGCGCTCAAAGAGACGGGGTGCCAGGAGCTCAGCGGTTGTCTGCAACGGCTGGGAGCCAAGCTCACGGCAGAAACTGCGCAGCCCCAGGACGAGCCGCCCCTCGTCGAAGCACCTCGTCGTGCCGAGGGTGTTCGCGAAGATGCAGGCTGCCGCCGTGGTCAACAAGTGTCGCGCGTGGATCGGCCACGCAAGCAGTCGCAGCTGGCTGAAGGCAAGGGGGCGCAGGCTGGGCGCGCCGCCGCCGAGGCGGCCATCGCCCGCAGGTCGGCGGCCCAGGCCGCGGCGCGCGCCGAGGGCGCGCGGGCGCTGGCCGCCTCGGCCAGGCGAAGCCGATCTTCCAGGCCAGCTGGTGCAGTGGTGCAGTGCGTTTTCCGAGCAGACAGATAGCATGGGGCGCGATGGGGGGCGAGGCGGAGGCGCTGAGAGGCATCGAGAGCCTGAGAGGCGACGCGGGGCGCCACGGCCTCGACGGAGGCCGAGGTGGAAGCGCGGCTCGAACAGGGGGAGTTCGGCAGGCGCGACATCGAGAAGCGGCTCGCCAAGAAGAGGCGCGGGGCAGATGGCCAGGCAGTGGCGAGCGGCAGCGATGGCCAGTCGCAGCGGTCTCCGGCGGCGAAAGGGCCCCTCCCCCAGGCGCCGCCGCCAGTGGCGACCTTGCCGAGCTGTCCGCGGCCGCGTCTGCCTGTACCAAGGCTGCTGGTGGGGGAGGAGAAGGGGGTCGCCCAGGAAGCCGAGGAGTTGTCGGAGGCCGCGTGCATGGCTGAGATCCAGAAGCAGAAGGGCAAGAGCATCGGCAAGGGCTTCGACCCTCGGGCCGACGCGACGGCCAACTCTCGACTCTCGTCGACCTGGCACGCCAAATGAAGGGGGGCCGCCGCCCGAGGCGGAAGAGAGGAAACATGGTCTTTGGTTCTATGGTTCTATGCCAACATCGCGCGCAGGGGAGGGGGGGGTGGCGTTTTGGAGCTGGCTGATGCGTCAGACGTGCGACGTTTTTATCGCTGTATAGTGTGCATCCGTGATGAGAGGACTTGATAACGCATGATGAGGAGGCTCGGGGACATGGCCTGCGCTGGTTCTCCAACGCAGCTCGGCTGGCAGGCGAAGCGAGAGCTGCAGTCGGCGCCGCCAGGGGGGGCGCTGATGGGGCGCCCAAACGAGTGGGGGAACTTGTTCATGTCCCGCGGGCACTTGCAGACGCGGCGCCTTCCAGCTGCCAGGCCAGCGGCAGGCGGATTGCATGCGCCTCATCATCCGACGTGCTGCGACGGTTTCCTCGCCGTAGTTGTCCGCCGTTGGCCAGAGCCTTATAGTGATCAGTTTACGCGGTCGCAATGATATGGGGCTCTCAGGGGCCAGCTTAGGCAGGTGTCAGCGTGTCGCAGGTTTCTTCGAGTTTCTCCGGCCCCCGTGGATAGTGGCAGGCGGCTTCGACGCGGCTCGTCGGCGCGTAGAGGGGCCTGAAACCGCGCGCCGTTTGCAAGTGGTGGTGGTGCAGGCAAAGGGGGCTGCGACGTGTAAGGTAGGGTCGGGCGCGGTCGGTTCTTTTCTCTTGTGCGCTCAGTCGGCGGTGCTGACTTTTGTCGCCACCTTCCGTCCGGTCGCCTCCGTTCCGTGGAAGTCTCGCGCGGGCCTGGGGATGGTCACGCGTTGTTCGGGGGGGGGGCGTCTTCTCGCGGGGATTCTGGGGGCTCTTGGCGGCCCCCCCTCAGATTCCCAGGCCTTGCAGAGAAGCCGCCGAGGGTTGAAGCTCCAGTCCATCGAGGGCCGAGCGTCGAGTTCAGCGCCAGCTCGCCGTGGAAGAGTGGGCTGCTAAGTGGTCTTCTTTGTTCGCGCACGCCTGCCTGTCGGAGCAATCCGAGGCGCGCCCCGAGGCCGAGGGCGCCGGGGAAAAAGAGTCTTCGGTCGCCAGGGTCGGGGGCCTGTCGCTGAATCGTTCGATTCTGATAAGTCGCTCGATGGAGGGGGCCCTCGGGCGGGCGAGCTCAATGTCTGCCGGGGCCCCGCCCTCTTAGCCGCTTCGTCCTTGCAAGGTAAGCCAGGGAATATCGCAGGCCTAGAGGTTGACACCGACACCAAGATCGGCGGTGTTCCTCCACCGAGGGAAGAAGACCCCGATCTCGGTGATGGCGGTAATATTCTGGCTTCCAAGGTGGCCGAAATATTACCACCAACACCGAAATCTAGGATCACCTCCCCCCTGTGGAGGCAGCCCTCTGTCTTGGTGTTGGTGCCCATTTCCAGGCCTCCCAGAATAGCCGAGTTCTCCAGTGGTCGGTCGCATTCCAGCCTGGGCCCCTCCACGGGCCTCGCGAGGTCTCCAGTGGCGCGCCTGAACTGTCCGAGCAGTCTGGGGCGGAGCATCCGAGAGCTCCTTCTGCTGCCCCCGGTCGTCCTCAGCCGCGGGCAGCGTCGCAGGCCTAGAGATTGACACCAACACCAATATCGGCGGTGTGCCTCCACCGAGGGAAGAAGATCTCGATCTCGGTGATGGTGGTAATATTCTGGCTTCCAAGGTGACCGAAATATTACCACCAACACCGAAATCCAGGATCACCCCCCCCTGTGGAGGCAGCCCTCTGTCTTGGTGTTGGTGCCCATTTCCAGGCCTCCAACAGCGGGCCCCCTGCTGGTGGCCGGCGGCCACTCGGGGCTCGGGCCGGGGGGGGGGGCTCTGGAAGGGGCGCCGCCCCTTGCCATCCCGTCCGGCTCATGGGCCAGGTGTCGTGGGGATGCTGGGTCGATGCGAGGTGCCGCCTCGCTTCGGCCCCCTGCCCCTGCTTTGCGTCAATCCGCAGCCATCTCGCTCGATTCAGATGGGCGTGAGATTCTTCCAGGCGTCTGCGCCTCCGTGGCGTCAGTCGTCGACCGCGCAGTCGCTTCCCGCCCCGGCATGGATCTGCCCTGTTGCCCTTCGAGGGCCGAGGGCCCCTGGGTTCTGGTCGCCAGCGCGAAGGCGCTGCCGACATTTCGTCAGCGCCGCTTCG